AAACAGTAATAGTGATGGCAATTTGTTGCTCGATCTGTAAGCTGTGAGTTGACTAGCCTTCTGAAACAGTAATAGTGATGGCAATTTGTTGCTCGATCTGTAAGCTGTGAGTTGACTAGCCTTCTGAAACAGTAATAGTGATGGCAATTTGTTGCTCGATCTGTAAGCTGTGAGTTGACTAGCCTTCTGAAACAGTAATAGTGATGGCAATTTGTTGCTCGATCTGTAAGCTGTGAGTTGACTAGACCTCTGAAACATTAATTATTATTAGTATATTTATGACATGTATTTTCTCTATATGTTCCAGTAGCCTTTGCTTTACAAAATAATCACTGGATGCATAGCAGTTTCTGATAAGAAAGTCAATATACATGTAGTAGTTAAAAATTCCTTTACATAATACATCTGAAAATTAAATCATAGTTTGTCAGACAATTTGAATGAAGTGTTTTATTACAGATGTGGTATTATTAGGGAGTTGATGTGATGCATAAAATGCTCAACATTGATGTTTTGTTTTTGTTTTTTGTTTTCTAGAAACAACTTGACARCCTTGGTTAGTTAATCTCTTCAACAGATGATRTCAAGAARCTCATCAGGAMCTGAAACCTCTTCAAATACAAATTAACAAATACTGTTCTTTTAAAATCCATTGTTYAATCAATAAGATTTAGCAGAAAATAGTATGCTAAAAATGTCCAGAATGTACCGGCATAAAACATTGTAGTGAAAACCAAAATGCACTGAACTATATTTGACAGAGTTTTTTTGACATTCTAAAAATGTCTAAAGTATATGTAGTATTATAAGTAAATAGACATTTTATTCAATGTACTTGTTAATGTCAACTTAATAATTATCAAAATAAAAAAAATAAAAAAATAAAATATAAAAAATTGTAGACCTATTAAAAAATTGTATTATTAATACTGGTATTTAATGACAATATGATTTTCAAATGATAATATGATATTTGAATACTTGGAAAGTATGGCTTGAAAGTAATGAAAATATGATAATTTAATGCTGGGAAAATATGGATTGAAAGTAATGAAAACTTGAAATTTGAGTGCTGTAAAAATTCAAAGAAAATGTTAAGTGAATGTTATATTCATTATACTTTATCATCTTAAGTGAATATGATGCTAAAATTACATTAACATAACATTCACTACACATTGAGAATATGATGAAAATACGGTATTCAACGGGTTTGCGCCGCGAGTGAATATAGTGCGAAGACCATATTTGCATCGGTGCAAATATGTATCMGTGTGTGTGAATGTGATATTCACTACATATTTACTATACTTTCACAATGTTGTGAATCCATTTTTTCGTCCAGTGATAGGAAAGAATAAAATTCCTGAGAAATTGTACCAATATCTTGTCAAAATATGTTGCTTCGTGTTTATAGAACCCTTATGGATAGGACTTTCATGCCTCATGAATGTTTTGTCATTTTTAATCCTAGTAGCAAAGTGTTATAGGAATAATTAGTATAAATAACAAAACAATAGCAGTTCTTGTATACGACATGGACAACTTCATGCATGTTCATGAGATAATACACTCAATATTTACCAATAAGTATTCTCTTCCAACATAACAAGCACAGCTCTAGCAATGCCTTTCTGCTCGTCGCTCAGGTGATCATCAACATCGACTCCAAACTCTCTATTAAGAAAYTCTATGCAAAAGTTCGAGTCTGCAATTTCTTGTCCATTGTATTCTATCCATGGCAGCTTTCCTTTGCTTGATGTCTTAAAGCTGTGGTCGCATTCGTAGGGAATCTTTGCCATACGAAGGTATGTTTCTAGCTTCATGCATGGAGCAGAAACGTTTACAACACTGCCGAAACGTGGGAAGACATGCAATATTAAAACACCATGTTTATCTGCCATTTTGCCTCTATTGTATGTTATGGATGGAATATTATTTATATATTTTGAATTTCAAATATGCAAACCACGCAAAATTGCATGACTTKGATGTATACTAATTAAAAAATGCGCTCGAGCAGAAAGAATATCGTCGGAGCATTCGAACGTGGACAAACATTCAAAAAACGTATTATGTGCCATGCTAAGTCTAGTAATTATTGGCTTTTTGTTTTGAAGCAAAGCCGGACCCATGAATAAGTGCCAAAAAAGTAACCGAACTACTTTTAGGACGATTATATGGAATCAATAAAATAATATAAATAATATAAATAATATGATAATAATATAAATATGGAAACAATTCTCCATTTTTGAATTCAAAGCAAATAACCGCTGTTTTTTTTTGTTTATTTGTTTGTTTGTTTTGTTTTTGTTTTTTGTTTTTGTTTTTTTGAGAACAGATTCTCTTGTGCAAAGATTTTTTACCAAATGAAAAAGAAAGCGGGAAAAATGTCGTTATTGCAAATGCCCGACTGAGACTCGTACCCAGTTGCTTCTCTCCAGCGGTGCGCAATGCATTAAGTGAAAGGCAAGGGAAAGGCCTATCAGCCCCTTTAGGGTATACAAAAATGAAGCGTAAAGACTGGTTTTAAAAATACCACATTTTCCAGAAATAAGTGAACTTATTCTTATTTTTCTATTTATTTATTTTTTTTTCCTTTTTAATTTGACAACAACTGGACTTAGACTAACTAAAAACTGACAAGTTAATTGTGAAAATCAAAACAAAAAAAATTAGGTAAAAGAAAGACTTATTTCTCTTTCTTCTTGCTGACCTCATCCCAGTCAGGATAAAAAGCCTCCTTCATTCGCTTCGAGTGATCTTCAAGATTCTTCAGCTCCGACAAAATCAACTTTCCCTGTGGGCATTGCGGCATCTGCCAGATTAAGTTACTAACAAGTGCAAAAAGAGCGGCATCAGCAAGGCAGGGTTTGTCTCCAAACAAGAAGTTTTTCTCTCCAAGGATTGCGGAAACAGCCTTCAGATCTTTCTCAGCTATCCCATAAATCTCTTCGAAGGAATGACGACCTATCCCGTGGCCATTGAGATAACCCTTGACTTTTCTTTGGAACCCCCAATGCATTGCGGCCCTTATAGGAAAGGGTGCCTTAGCCAATATAATGTCGCGCATCTCATAGGAGTAGTCTGTACACCATCTGTAGTGGACAAGAGTCCTGAAAAATGAAACTGTATTCAATACTTTAAAATCTCAAAAACACAGATCGACTTCCCTGCAAATTCAAAATATGCAGTAACTTAAAGTGCTACTTGCATGAAAATGGCCTTATTTCAAAAATTCAAGCAATACAATATTAGAAAAGTCTTGTAACTGAGGAGGTTTTACAATAAAACGAAAATAGTTTTACAGACAATAAAAGCTGATCGTGCGTCAAGACCGAATAACTCAAGCCTTAACATACTTGAGGAAATCAAGATGAAATTAATATCAAAGTCTTGCGAGGCCAAAATACTAAATATATCAAAGAATATCCAGTCACAATCCGTTTCTATATTTGTTGGTTTTAAGGTCGAATCTTACAATATCTCCATTCATGGAGCAAAAACAGATAATTAAGGGCTGGGGTTTTCGCTTATATTACCAATTCTATTTTCAAACATACGCAAAAGTTCCAAAGGAATGCGCATGCGCCATATAACAATTGAGTTATAGTAGTCGTATAATATCATGCAGTGACGTATAAWTTGTATGCGGATTCACTCAGCCAAACCTTCAATGGAAAAATGAAAATCTAAACAAAACAACCTAGGTTATGTCATCAATCAAACATAGGTCTCACCAATAAGTGTTTTCCTCCAACATAACCAGTACAGATCTAGCAATGCCTTTCTGTTCCTCGCTCAAGTGATCGTCAACATCGACTCCAAACTCCTTATTAAGAAACTCAATACAGAAGTTCGAGTCRGCAATCTCCTTTCCATTGTATTCTATCCATGGAAATTTCCCTTTGCTTGAAGCTTTCAAGCGACAGTCGCATTCGTAGGGAATTTTTGCCATGCGAAGATAGGTTTCCAGCTTCATGCATGGTGGAGACATGTTCGGAACGAAACCAAAACGCTCAAACATGTGAAGAACAACTTTGCAATTTTCGGCCATTATTAGTCAGTTCTGGTACATTAATCGTGCCCAAGATTGTATCGGTGTAAACAAAATCTCAACGTAAATATAACGATGTGAAAAGTCAACCAAAGCGTGCTTCGTCATACTCCACTTCGGCCTCAATAATGAATATCGTGACATGCGTTAGTTACAGAGTGTTGAGTGGGCTCTGAAATGGTCCAATGAAAATGTGATMTATCACGTAAGAAAACATACAGAATTTTATTATGAATTCGCAACCATGCAATGAATGTGAACAAACTCGTGTGTTGATTGGCTAATTTTCTCTAGGATATTGCCTCATATTCCGTGAGTAGTTAAAAACAAAATGGGTTATTTTCATCCATTTTGCTCACTAGTTATAACTGCATTTTGTAAATCTAGTTGTTTAAAAAAATAAATGTCATTGACTGTCTGAAGTAGTTTTTATTTGATCGTGAAAAGTTTGGAGTCATAATTAATTTCAGTTATTTTTAGTTAGTCACAGTCGAGAAAATTTGGTTCTAAAGATAAAAGGACAAGATGGTTAAGTCGACGAAGTCGCCGACTTTAAAAATCTATGCCAAAATATTGGAGAATATTTATCAGAATTGAAGAAAAATATCAAATTAAACACTGATGCTGTTCAATGATCAAGAATGCCGCACCGATAGCTTCACTCAAATTTGAACAATTTGAATTAATAGAATAGAAACCTTTATTAATTCAAATTGTTCAAATTTGAGTGAAGCTATCGGTGAATTTGATAATAKTCTCAGGAGTTACAATTATAGTTTACACATAGATTCGAATTATGAGAATAGTCAATAGTCGAGAGAATTGTGCGATAACTATAAGAATACTGCAACCGGGTATTAAACGTATCATTTGATTGGCAAATCCAGCTGGGCGCTCGGGATAAGATGGTGCACACCCTCAACCGAGACTACGATTTCCTTAAATGATTTTCCTAATTATTTTGTAGCCTAGATGACCTTTTTCGTCAGTGGAATGCATGTTTGACCTAGTCCCTTGCCTGAAAAAAAATCCTCGATCCCCTCTGGGTTTGTAATATTTTATGTAATATTTTATTTAAAAGCTACACTGCTATAACGTTAAGAGGCTAATCAAAAAATAATTTGCCCGAAATATATCAAAAATTTGTTTAGACTAATTATTTTCTCCCTTGTTGAGTTCATCCCAGTCAGGATAAAATGACTCCTTCATTCGTTTCGAGTGATCTTCAAGATTCTTCAGCTGCGACAAAATCAACTTTCCCTGTGGGCATTGCGGCATCTGCCAAATTAAGTTACTAACAAGTGCAAARAGAGTGGCATCAGCAAGACACGGTTTGTCTCCAAACAAGAAGTTTTTCTCTCCAAGAATTGAGGAAACAGCCTTCAGATCTTTCTCAGCTATCCCATAAATCTCTTCGACAGAATGACGTCCAATTCCATGACCATGGAGACAGCTGTAGACATTTCTTTGGATCCCCCAAAGCGCGACGGCCCTTATAGGAAAGAAGGACTTGCCCAATACAATATCTCGCATCTCATAAGCGTAGTCAGTGCACCATCGGTAGTGGACAAGAGTCCTGAAAAAACAACCGTCATTTCATGGTGTAAAATTTTGACAACATTAGTACAAAATGTCAAACAGTGATTGCTGATGAAATACAATGGCATTAAGTTTAATTCCCACTAGTTGTATAAAAACATGTAGGTAAAATTATGATGATTCCCGCGGCGTGTGTTGTTAAGGTCATGTTAAATTTAAATAGTCTTTAATCTGCGCCCAAGAATCCGTCGGTTTTGTTCTACGCAGTCTGATTTTCGTTATCATGCACTTSTCTCAACCCTTTACGGTTGGGTCATAAGCCCCATATTTCAGCGGAATGAGGAGCGCGGTTGCAGAAACACCGACGGCTGGAATCTGAGCTTCAGCTAAGTTGTTCAAATTCAGAACCTTACGTAAATCATCTTAAACCATGTAGAAAGTGTAATTGGATGGTTTAAGTGTAATATTCTGTGACAATAGTTATTTGCATAAGCAATGTATAAGGAATCATTCAACCATTCTCTTTGACCCCTATGAAAATCTTGTCATCCATAACTTGAATAAAAAAACATAAGAAGAGCATTTAAATATCTTATCAAAAAATAATTCTCACCAATAAGTRTTCTCTTCTAACATCACCAGTACAGMTCTAGCWAYGCCTTTCTGYTCRTCGCTCAGGTGATCATCAACATCGACTYCAAACTCCTTATTAAGAAACTCAATACAGAAATTYGAGTCTGCAATCTCTTGCCCGTTGTATTCTATCCATGGCAGCTTTCCTTTGCTTGAAGCCTTGAAGCCATAGTCACATACGWAGGGAATTTTTGTCATGCGAAGGTATGTTTCCAGCTTCATACACGGAGGAGAAAAGTTTGGAACGGAACCCGGCCACCTCTCATACATGTGAAGGACAACTTTGCATTTTTCGGCCATTTTCTTTRCTGGCAAAGAAACCGTTTGAAAATCGTTTTCAACTTGTGTCAAAATACAAGTCTACAAAGTCAAATATTTRTGGCCGAGTCGGCCTTAGTTGATGTCGTGACCCTAGCTAGTGAACTCTAAAACGGTTCAGTGCTCGGACTGACTAACATACCCTCTGATTGGGTAACATGCCTTCTGATTGGCTATCATGCTCTCTGACTGGCTACAATGAGCTCTGATTGGCTACCATTAGCTCTGTTTGGCTACTATACGCGCTTATTGGCTACCATATGCTGTGATTGGCTACCATGAGCTCTGATTGGCTACCATGAGCTCTGATTGGCTACCATATGCTGTGATTGGCTACCATGAGCTCTGATTGGTTATCATGAGCTCTTATTGACTACCATACGCTCTGATTGGCTCTCATACGCTCTTATTGGCTACAGTATGCTCTGATTGGCTACTATGAACTCGGATTGGCTACCATGATCTCTGATTGGCTACCATGATCTCTGATTGGCTACCGTCCTAGAGCTTTGTTCTCGGATGCAAGTAGGCCTTTAAATAGTATGGCGTCTTGTTCAAGTAATTTGACAGAAATTGACACACCCTAAATCTCTAAAATCTTGATACAACCGTGTCCTACCGCCGCATTTTTCTGAAATTCGTAAATACATTGGAATGATATATATGCAACAGAGTGATTTTCCTGGCGTGTATAATTAAAAATAATCCCGACAGTTAATCAAGTATATCACGGTGTAGAAGCTTAAATCCAACACTCACTTTTTTTGAAAGTGACCAGCTGTGGACAGCGGCTTCGCGAGGCGGGCCTCCAAAAGTATTTTGACCGTTGGCAGGCTCTTTGCCGGGAAAGCAAGAATAACATATCCTTTTTTGCATTTTAAAGCTTATAAATGATGTAAATAATATACACGCGGTTAATTCAAATGCATAGTCTTAAATTGTGTCAACGTTTGTCAAAGAAGCTCAAGGACTTGAGTTAAAGGAAGCAATTTTAATTTAAGCATCGCGGTTTGACAAGATCTTAAGATCAGTGGCGATATGAAATATTCCAGGACTCCTGTTTCTCAATTGCACTGACTGCAATATTAAAATTCCAATTCCAGCTTTATAAAAGAAATAATATATATATGTGATATCAAAGAGGCAAGATTTTGCTGTGACTCCGAGTTTCGTGCTACGCACTCATCAGACAGTATTTAATGATCTCTTTGATATCACAAATATATAACTAGCTCTACACTTTATGTGTATTGAGCACTCTTTAATGGGATCAGCCACTTCCTCATACGATTAAAAGAAATAATAAGTAATTTGTACTAAATAGTAAATAGCGAAATGTTCAAAATGATAAGTCTCTCGAAGTTGACGGCACCAACACGTGTTTCCGAGTTTCATTCAAAATATTGAGTAAATGCAAGCAAAATTACGAATATAACTTACCATTTTTTCGACACTTTCTAAATTAAGTAATAGTACAGTTCTTATATTCACTATAAATTCATTTTCAAGGCATTTGAAGTCTATTTTCTGTATCATTCTTCCCTTTTCCTTGCAAAGGTGCACTCTGCCAAATCAAAAAGCACTGAATGTCTTTGGGCTTCCTGTGCTACTCATTAAACAGGAAGCCCACATTTCTACATTGGTTTTGTTTTCGTTTATGATGGAGTTTTCGTCTCTTCCGTTTTGCTCTTTATCTTCCTTTAYAGGAATAGTTCTTGGGATCTTAATCGCTTTTAAGCTTCTTGGCTCAAAAGAGAAGASAACCAAGAAAGTTCCTCAAGGCGTAGTTCTTCTGCATCAGTTTGAACGAGGTCGTATAGGTGTTCCTAACCTGTCACCGCCATGTTTGAAGTTAGAAACCTACCTTCGAATGACAAAGATTCCCTACGAGTGCGATTATACATTGAAATTTTCAAGCAAGGGGAARATGCCTTGGATAGAATACAACGGAAAAGTGATTGCGGACTCCAGCTTCTGTATTGAGTTTCTTAATAAGGAGTTTGGAGTCGATGTTGACGATCACCTGAGCGATGAGCAGAAAGGCATTGCTAGAGCTGTAAGGGTGATGTTGGAAGAAAATACTGTGTGGTGAGATATATTATTAGTTATGTTCAGCCCGGAAATTATCTGTGTTTACATTATTTAGTGTAGTTTTCTTGAACTGTTTGTTTAGGGGCTGGAGGTGGGGCTACACCCTCTCGACCTCCCCTGGCTAGCTGTACATACATGTAAGTTTTTCTCTGTAATAGGCAATCCTTAATTAAGGGGGAGCATTGATAATTACATTTTGCACAAGCTTTAATCTCACTCCAGATATATAAATGCAAGTCCTAATGAATGAAGTTATACGTTAGTTTATAGTCTCCTTCACACTGCACTGCCACTGCACTGCGCCATTGAAAGGTACCCATCAATAATATCTGAGATTAATTGCTGAAGGTTTCTATCATTGCATGCTTAACAGTCGTCTCAATGCAGTACAGTTATGGTTACCTTTTAGAGTTGCAACCGTAACCCCTGTGGAGAGGAACATCACTGTCACAATCTGAATCAAGTACAGCCTAGTTGGTATTGAACTGGCATTGAACTATTACCCAGCAATCTTACTGCAGAAACCATTGTATTGTGACTTCAATGTTCAATGGGTTTAGGTTTTTCTGTGACTTGAGGGCAGAGCTTGATACAAATCGGCCAATGATTGATCGAGTTTTCAAAAAGGCATGCCCCTTAGATCGAAGGAAAGAACAAAATCCAGACAAACTTCAAAATAAAGAAGTCGCGATGCAACGATTTTCACTGTAAATTTCATTTTATTTTGTATTGAGCTAATTATTCACACGTGATTTATTTCAACAGGACATTGGGCTACTGGCGTTGGCTTGGAGAATGTGTAGATGAATTCAGGAATCTATTCTTTGGAAACATGATTTTCCCAATTAAGTATGCATTGTTCTGGTGGTATCAAGGAAAGAGCAAAGTTAATCTCTATGGTCATGGGATTGGCCGTCATACTCCCAAGGAGATTTATGGCATAGCTGAGAAAGACCTTAGATCAGCTTCTGCAATTCTTGGAAAAAAGAAATTTTTATTTGGATACAAACCATGTATTGCCGATGCTGCTCTCTTTGCAATTGTGAGCAATTTTATCTTCACAATACCTCTTTGTCCACAAGGAAAAGTTATTTTAACACATTTTAAAAATCTAGAGGATCACACAAAACGAATGAAAGAGGCTTTTTATCCTGACTGGGATGAACTTTACACAACTAGGTGAAATATTTCAGGATTCCTGTGTCTTTCATGATGTTTTACAGCTTTGCTTACTAAGCTGATTGCTCAGGTCCCAGGCTGCAGGATTAAAACTAAAACACAAGTTCAGCACATATATATTTAGGAATGTATAGTAACTGACAAAATGTTCAAATTGTTAGAATCTATTCTATATGTTTAATAGAGAAAATCCAGATAGGGTTGTTGCCATAAAAAATCATGTGTTCCAAAAATGTGTACAATTTCCTGATATATTTTGTTTGTCAATAAAATTATGTTTTATTATTTTGCCTTTACTGGAACTTCAGGTTTTTCAAGACGTGTACAGTGACGTGTACTAGACATGCACGTAATTTGGTTTTCCTGTGTTTGGATTCAACAGGAATCCCACATTTACAATAACAATTGTCTGTGATGGAGTTTTCGTTTTGTTCTCTGTCTTGCTTCACAGGAATAGTTCTTGGGATCTTAATCGCTTTTAAACTTCTTGGTTCAAAAGAGAAGAAAAATAAGAAAGTTCCTCAAGGGGTTGTTGCTTTACATCAGTTTAAACGAGGTCGTCTTGGAGTTCCAAATCTGTCGCCGCCATGTTTGAAGTTAGAAACCTACCTTCGSATGACAAAGATTCCCTATGAATTCGACTATAGTTTTAAAATGTCATCCAAAGGGAAGATGCCTTGGATAGAATACAATGGGCAAGAGGTTGCCGACTCGAACTTCTGTATTGAGTTTCTTAATAAGGAGTTTGGAGTCGATGTTGACGATCACCTGAGCGACGAGCAGAAAGGCATTGCTAGAGCAGTAAGGGTGATGTTGGAAGAAAATACTTTCTGGTAAGGTAGTCAATAGTTGAATCATTCAATTAGGTATTTTTTGGCTTTATTCAATTKTAATAGCTTTACGAGGGAGGTATTCATAACACGTTACCTTTAAGTACGTTGAGTGGAGCCATATAGGCCTCGTTTCCATCCCTTTGCTTTGTATTGTTTTCCAAAGGAATGAAGCATTACATTTGCACGATACGCTTTATTACAGCCAAACCTACTGAAGCGTTCCTATCAAGGTTGGAAGGCTCGATTTATTATTCCAAATTTGGTTCCAAATTTATATTTAAACGTGCAAAAACAAAACCGACAATGTAAATTTCAAATCTGACGTCGATTTGCACGTTTAAATATAAATTTGGAACCAAATTTGGAATAATAAATCGAGCCTTCCAACCTCGATAGGAACGCTTCAGTAGGTTTGGCTGTAAATCATGGCTAATGAATAATGATTGACAGCTCCATATAATGAATGAAAAAATACTATTTTTATATATTGATACTCACTAAAGTATTTTTTCCACAGGACATTGGYCTACTGGCGTTGGCTTGGAGAATATGCTGATGAATTCAGAAATGTTTTCTTTGGCAGCAAGTTTACTTTACCGATCAAGTATGCATTATTTTGGTGGGTACAAAGAAGAAYCAGAGGTTATCTTTACGGACACGGGATCGGGCGTCACACTCCCGAAGAGATGTATGGGATAGCAGAGAAGGATTTGCGTGCAGTTTCAGCAATTCTTGGAGACAAGAAATTTTTGTTTGGAGACAAACCCTGCCTTGCTGATGTTTCTCTTTTCGCACTTGTGAGCAACTTCATCTTTACAACACCGGTCTGTCCACAGGGGAAAGTGATTTTGAATCAGCTTACGAATCTTGAAGATCACTCGAAACGAATGAAAGAGGCTTTCTATCCTGACTGGGATGAAATCTGTTACAGAAGGAAGAAAACGACTTGAAAGTCACACAAACCGAAGTGCATGTGCAACTGTGCACTTGATMTTGGAATGCTATCCAGGAGGAGCCTACCAGATCTGTTCTTATACGAGTTTTCTCCTGGGAAAGTGATTTAGAACTATACTTTTAAATTGGGAAAAACGCTCCCTAAAGGCCGWTAAAGCACAAAAGATATTCGGGATTTTCCTTCCTGCAAAGGTCGTGWAAAGTTTCCTATGCCTCTCCGTGATTTTTAAAAAGTATTTCTGAATGTATTATAACTTTGCTGGCAACCGCAGTTGTGACTTACAGCTGGCTGGCTGGGACKTAAGAACTTAACAAATTGCGCTCGGTTTTCAGTTGTATGTCCTCTTATCGACACACTTTTGACGTCATAAAATGTTCAAATGTATTTTCCCGTACGGCCCTCCCACTCAGTCAATAAGTACATAATATTTCTCYCAGGAACTCGTCGGCTCCTCTTGGCTATCTTTAATACTCAACGTAAAATAGCTGAATAATGAAATAGTTGTTATTTGAAAAATAAAACAAACAATAAAAAGCAAATAAATTATAGCTCGATTGAGTAAATACTTTTGCACCCACTCGATCAGTGTGAGCTTKAGAGTTAAAAATTGGAGTGAGTTCTAATAATGGAAAGTTAGCCTCTCGTAGTTCTGTCGCTGGACTATTAGTTCAAAACGTTTTATGAATGCATCACTGAGAAACTGATAGTGTAGCGATATAATGGCACAAAACGTGTTTAAAAGGGGTAAAATAATAGACATAATATAATATATAAGAGATGAGGCCGAAGAGGGTCGAAGAGCCTGACCATCGTTTAACATCATGTGGGTTTCCTGTGGTTCTAGTTACGTAATTCCGATTACATAATGCCTCACAATATYTACCTCTGCCGAACACATGGAGTATTGCTCTGTATGTTGCTTTACAGGAATAGTACTTGGTATCTTAATCATCTTTAAACTTCTTCGTTCAAAAGCGAAGAAAACAAAGATGGCTCCTCGAGGGGTAGTTATTCTACATCAGTTTAAACGAGGTCGTCTAGGAGTCCCAAACTTCTCACCTCCATGTTTCAAGCTTGAAACCTACCTGCGCATGGCAAAGATTCCCTACGAGTGTGACTTCAGYTCAAAAATGTCAAGCAAAGGGAAATTTCCATGGATAGTATACAACGGAAAAGAGATTGCAGACTCGAACTTCTGCATTGAGTTCCTTAATAAGGAGTTTGGAGTCGATGTTGATGGTCACCTGAGCGATGAGCAGAAAGGCATTGCTAGATCTGTACTGGTTATGTTGGAAGAAAACACTTATTGGTGAGAAATATAACGATTTGATTTGAGAATGTTTAATCGCGTGTTTTCAACCGGGAATTAACGATATATATTTCACGGATGGGGGATTAACTGATGCACAACGTCACAACACTGCAGGGGGGAGGGGGTTAATCGAATCGTTGTAGTATCCATGTGTGTCTAAGGGAGGGGTATGGCTTCAGAAAGTGTTGCTTTGAATTTTAATTAATAAGATAGATATATACAGTTCTATAATTAGTATGAATTGAAGAAAAAGCAACACAACTTGTAACTTGATTTCTACTCTTTATAGAACGTTTCAGGCATTCCCCTTCTTCAGCAAACTCATAGTTCTATATTTACATATTGGTATTTGAATTCAATAAAAGTTTTCTAAAGTAGCTGTATAACTCACGATAAATTGTTTTTACAGGACAGCGGCCTACTTCGTTTGGCTGAGCGAAGAATATGCTACAAAGTGGAGGAACCGTTTCTTYGGCTGCAACCTYTTTTTCCCATTCAARTATTTGCTGTTTTGGTATATACAAAAAAGGCAGACAGCCAATCTCTATGGCCACGGGATGGGACGTCACTCACCCGAGGAGATTTATGGGATAGCTGAGAAAGATCTAACRGCTGTTTCAGCAATTCTTGGAGAGAAGAAATTTTTGTTTGGAGACAAACCCTGTCTTGCTGATGTGGCCCTCTTTACGCTTGTGAGCGATTTCCTTTTTGTAGCTCCGGAAGATTGTCCACAAGGGAAGTATATTTCGACGAAGCTTAAAAATCTTGAAGACCATGCGAAACGAATGAAAGAGGCTTTTTATCCTGACTGGGATGAACTTTGCTCAAAAAAAGAAAAAATGACTTAACGCGCAGGATTTCAAGCTACCGCACATAGTTTAATATTCGTATGAGAGATCTCCCATTTTCGTAAAAAAATATACAAACAAACATGTAGGATATTGTTAGCAGGATTAAGTTTTGACCATTACTATGCCACGTATAAACCGAAATTCAAACAAGCGTGCCACTGCTTTCATGACGCTATGACTCTATCTGCAGTGGCCTAAATAGAATTCATCATTAGCAGAATTAGATGTCAGTGGTGTAGGGACGTGTTAAAGTGTAGTCTCCTCGCAGCCGTGTTTAGTTTCGGTCACGCGTCACGCAGAGGTTGGAGAGGTTGCGTGACGCGTGACCGAAACTAAACACGGCTGCGAGGAGACTAGTTAAAGTGCTACTTGCATGAAAATGGCCTTATTTCAAAACTTCAAGCAATACAAATATATGACTCATTTATATCTATTAAAAAAAATTGCGGGCAATATTTGTCTTGGAATTATCCCACATCAGAGAAATTTTGATTCAAAAGATGGAAGAACAAAAGGATTGAGTAAATGGCGTCATCTACTCCAACATTTTTTGCCCAAATTATTAAGGATTTGCATCAATATTTTCTTGAAATCTGTTGCTTCATGATTATTACACCCATATGGGTAGGTCTATTTAATTTCCAAGTCTTTTCTTATGTTTCGCAATTTTCGTCCAAGTAGCCCTTTAATAGAGGGGTGTCCGTAAAAGAGAGGTGACCGCAATAGAGAGGTGTCCGTAAAAGAGAGGTGACCGTAGTCAGTGTTCTCGATATCTGATATTATAGTCCCGAATATTCATCTTGTACTGAATCAAATTCACCAAAGATACATATTTATATGTTAGTTTATGTGATATTTTAAACTTTCACGCATACAAAATATTGATGTGCATATTTATAATGTATTATTCATTTTCGTAATAAATGCAGTGTGAACGTTTTTCTCTGTGGGCTAGCTGTATAGTGAGCACTTCTCCCATTTTAATATAATGTTATTTTTTACTCTAATGCGAATTCTGATTTAAATTCATTTCGAAATAGTCTAAATGATGTCATACTGCTCCAATACGGATTGAACACAGTTTATACCGAATCAGCCGCTTTAAACATTTATCGCATTATTATTTCCTTTTTTTTCTTTTTATTTTTTTTTTGTGCTCGAGCAAAATCTTGCCTGATGGGCTTCCTGTGTTGAACATTTAAACAGGAACCCCAAATTGTCATATAGCTTCTTTGTGTTTAAAAATGGAGTTTTCCTTTTGTAATGTATCTTGCTTTACAGCCACAATACTTGGAATCTTAATTGCCTATAAGATTCTCGGTTCAAAAAAGAAGAAACCAAAGAAGGTTCCTCAAGGAGTAGTTGGTCTGCATCAGTTTAAACGAGGTCGTCTTGGAGTTCCGAACTTTTCGCCGCCATGTTTCAAGCTTGAAACTTACCTCCGAATGGCAAAGATCCCCTACGAGTGTGTTTACAGTCCTAAAATGTCAAGCAAAGGAAAGCTRCCATGGATAGAATACAACGGGAAAGAGGTTGCAGACTCGAATTTCTGTRTTGAGTTTCTTAATAAGGAGTTTGGAGTCGATGTTGATGATCACTTGAGCGCGGAACAGAAAGGCATTGCTAGATCTGTACTGGTTATGTTGGAGGAAAATACTTATTGGTGAGAAATATAATCAATTGGAGAAGTGTATTTGATAAGATTGAAGTA